CAGGGACAGAAGGAATGACATGATTGTGCAAGTATGAACAAGAAAAGAGGTGATTTCCAGGGCAGGCTTTGGTGCATTCAGCAGCACTAATGTAGGGGAAGTAGAGCTGATGTACTCTGCTTTGGCTGTTACGTGTCCGTCTATCATGTCAAATGAAATAAATTTTAAAAATTATTAATATAAATATTAATAAATATAATAATATAAATATTTATAAATATAAAACTTTAATAAAGGAATATTTTAAAGTAAAAATATCCAGGACCTTAGTCAGCAAACAGAAGTACATTATCCTCCTGCCTTGCGTGTAAAGCCATAGTCCACAGGACTTCACCTGGGGAGGGGCTGGACAGAAGGTTGAGTAAGAATTAATAATTAATAAAATTAATAAACAAAATTAATAAAAAACTCTTCTGGACCTCTGAGTACTGTATTTCCTCCTCTGCCATTAGTAAATCCCTATTGTCTGTGTCAGGCATGGGAGCAAATGGTAATCTATAAAACTGACTGAGCACTATGGCATTTCCATTCCTTATGCTCTGTATCAGAACAGTAGAAGAACTGATGGATACAGGAAAATACAGGGAACATTCTCCTTCTGGTAGATCTTGGTTATTAGGGAAACTAGAGCGTTTTTTAATCATATGGGTACATGTCCTGCTAGCTATTCTCACATTTTAGCTGTCAAAATGAGTGAACTAGATACTTTTGAAAAAGGAATTAGAGGTCCATTTGCTAAGCTGAAGGCACTTAGCACTCCTGTCATACCATATTTTATTATGAGGACCAGTAAAGGATCACAGCTGTCAGACACAGTTCTTACTTCAATTCTCAAAAACAGTATAAGTTACTTTTCAATTTCAAAATTCTTGAGAGTTTCTAAGATCCTGTCACAGAAAACAGGACAATAGCTTCTAAAACACCAATTATAAAACCTCAATATTAAAGATTTTCGGGGTTTTTTTGCCTAGTTGTGAGGCCACTCATTCATCCCACCTAACTGGCTATGATGAGGATGCAGACCAAGCAAAGACCATCCTTCTGCAAGATTGTCTGTAATGCTACAAGCACCCAAAAAAGAGCAAAAAGAAAGCATGTCTTTAAGTCTCTTCTACTGGGTGTGTACACTTAGGGCTGTTTTTGCAGCTAAATGTCTCAGGCCGTTCAAATGACAACGCAGCTGCTTATTTTTACTTCTTGAAAAAAAATTTCATTTTCATTTGCAAGGCTTCTAATTAAAAGCCACGTTTGAATCTTCTTCATGACAGGCAGGGCTGATGTGCAGAGTGCCTGGGGGAATGCAGAGGTCTCCTCTGCACACTGCTATTCCCAGAGGAAGTTTTTCTGCCCTAGAATGTCCATTCATAACTCAGCCTCCTCTGTGCTTGGCTTTTCTCATCTTTCAGACTTGTAGGTATTTCTGAACTCTGCTGGCTTTGGCTGAGCCCATTTTTGATCCTCTGCATAGGCCACAGGGAGCACACTTCATACATCACTCTTGTAAATTAATTATGTTAACAGATGAAGGGTGGAATCATATCAAAGGGTGTGCCCGTGCCTCTGAAATCACCTGAGCCCAAAGACTTTTTCCTTACAAAACTTGAGTTTCTGCTTCTTCTGCTGAGAAAGCCTGAGGCAAAACCTGGAGCAGTGCTGGGGATACATCTCACTGGCTTCCCTATTCATTAAGGCAGGGAAGAAATAGTGGCAACTCTGCAGCACTGGGAGCACCCCAGAGAGTCACTTTTTTTGTACCCTGCAGCTTCTGGCTCCATTTTTTCCCATTGTCAGTGTTGATGCTGCCATTGTCTGTTTCTCTCCTACTGCTCCCTTTTATGCCAGACCATTCACTCTAAAATCCTTTCAAACCCTACTCGCCCTGTAACACATAATCCTGCCCTGGTCATGGAAGAGCCCCACTCATCTCTGTGCCCATGGGGCCAGGTCAAGGTGACCAGATTAACACAAATCTGTCAAATTGCCTCTGGCCAGCCCATTTCTGTGAACCCCAGCATTTGGTTTAAAGTTCAGTTTAAGGTTCACTCCTCAGCATAACTGCTGAGCTTACTTTTTCCAGCCACAAAGGTTTCCTTGATAAAATGTACTATTTCAAATGAACTTACTTTTTAAGCCTGTATAACCTTTCTCTGTGACAGCACTATTTACTTTTTCTGCAGAAAGGGTGAGAAAGCTGGTGTAACCAATAAAACAAATAAGAAGAGTGTAGCACAATTTATATTTGGTAGGAGAAAGTCTCAGGAGAAAGTTAATTCTTGGGGAGTGGTAACGACTTTGCTTTTCCTCTTAAGGCCTTTCTCACATTGCAAGAGAATTTTACAAGATGAGAATCAATCTTCAGCTGAATTTTAACTACAGGACATCAAAATACCAGCTGAAGGAAAAGGCAAAATAACCTGACAATACTGCCAGCTCTTTTTGCAAAAGACCTGCAGCATCTCATGGCAAATGAGATGTCAATCCTGTAATTAGCAATTCAGTCAGTATTAATTGTGTGTGTGTTGCTTCCTCTCAATCACTGTCATTTCCAGGATGTTTTATGGAACTCAATTTGTAAACAATATGCAAAAGTTTAACACACTTTAAATTAATGTTCCTAAGTAGGAAAAGGGATGCTTTCGCTATTTCTTTCTATAAATGGACTTTCACAATTCTAGTAGGTCCTAAGGGGAAAACAAGCATGCATTAAAGGCCATTAGCCCACATCCAAAACCATTGCAACCAACGTATAGCACACACTTTCTTGTAGCACAAAACTGAAAAAGCCATGAGAGAGTCAAAGGCACAAGTCATTCCAGCAATTCATATTTTATGAACCAATGTCTGTTCTTGATTTAAGACTTGTCCAGCAAGACATAATCCATGGCTTGCTAGCAAGTGGGGGGACAATTTAAAAAAAATATTTAATCCCCTGTCTCTCAAGTTTATCAATTTCAAACATCAGAACTTGCTTTCTTTTCATTTGATAGATTCCAGAAAGCTCTCTGTAGGAAAATTGTATTTGTCATTAGTTATGAGGACATATAAATTATATTTCTCATATAATATCTACTGCAACCACCCTTTCACCTTAGATTTGATAGATTAGGTAGATTGAGCTCCTGGAATACTTCCTCTTTAATAACATTTTTTCATATGCTTTAATTATTCCACTGGCTCTTCTCACTGGTGATCAACTGCCTTACTGAATTATGAACATTTGTCTTCCACTGGGAGACCACTGAAAGTGCCAAATAAAACAAAACTTCTATTTAATATTCTCAGGATTGCATTAAAACCCTTGCTGCAAATTGCATTCTTTCTCTCCCACACCATTACTACTTCAGACTGAAAATTAATTGCTCATCCACTGCCTGTGAGCTGCTTAGATCCTGTGCTTAATATGGGCAGGCTGTGAGAGACAGAAACTCTGAAGCACAACCAGCATCAGGAAATTTTTCACGTGTCGTGAAATGAATCACAAACTGTGACTGTCTTCAGTCTGTCTTTGGAGAGCTCAGCCCAGGGCACAGACTGGAACTCGTGTGTGAAGCTGCCAAAAATGCAAATTACAAACCGGATACCAGCTTTCCTTTCCCTTTAACCCAAAGTTAATCTAAAAAGAATATACATGCTCCAGCTTAAACCTGGTTTGCACAGTTTTCAGACAAGTGTTTACAATTTTATTTCTTATTAATGTGCTTCTTTGCAACAGAAAATATCTGTGCATAAAAGTTCCCAGAATCAGAAAGACATCTTTCAACCTGTGGTACCACTTTTCAATACTTTATGCCCTTTCCTTACCCCAGTTTTTGTTTTTGGGCCTCACGAGCCATCAGGTCAGGAAGGCTTCCTAAAATATCCACACCTCGTTGGCTCCAAAGATAGAGTTAAGTTGATGCACCTTCCTGCTCCTCTAAAACCTGGGATTTCATTTTGACACGTGTGTTTGCTCTTGAAAACCCAGCAGACGTGCTAGGACCAGGAGCTGTTATTTTTCCACGTAAAATCTAATGGTGTATGGTATTCATAGAAAAATCTGCTCAGGAAAACAAAACTCAGATTTGAAAGGGGATGGCCACAGTCAGAGTATCCAGCCTGGTGATTTTCAGTGTTATCTGCACCCTGGAGCTCATGGGCTCCATATCAGCACAAGGGATGCTGTGGCATTTCCCCAAAGAAAGTGTTCTTTGTAGAATGAACCATCTCCTCCCTCGTGCACATTGCTCACAGATGGAAAAGGACAGGAAACGTCTTATAGTCACATACATCCTAGAATGAAAGGCAGAGAAAATAAAAACTTAAATAAAATGAGTAAAGGGTTTACCTTCCCAGCTAACAGACAGCAACATATCCATTTTACTTATATCTCTGTGTCCTGATATTCATATATATTCTACACTGGTTTTTACTGTTACCTGTAAATAACCAATGATTTATCTATAAAACATTCTTACAAGCTTTGAAATTGATTTAAAAATATGGACAACATTATGGAGAAGATGGCTCTACTGAAAAATAAAACTGAAAATGCTGACAAAGTTTTGACATTCAGGGAAATTACAGACAACATTCTTGGGAAGAAACAGGATTTATCATCTCAGTAGGTTGCTGTGCAGATTTTTTTCCACTGGAGGTACTACGACAATGGAAGGGCCCTAAGGAAGCCTGAGCCATTGTTTAGGAAGATACTTAACAATGTTTTTTGCTTCCAGCATGATTAATCTTATTACTTTCAATGGAACTATTCGCACGCTTCAATTAGGCTTCCTGGAGTATGTTTACACAAAGTAAAAGGGGAAAAAAAAAATCACAGCCCTCCAGAGCATCAATCGTTCACAAAACTCATTAAATCAGTATTTTGTTGTTACAGTTCATGCAACTGCCTGCCTCAAAGAGCCATAGAATACCACAACTCCTTTTATTTTTTGCCACATCTTTTGATCCATTCATCCTGGATTCCTCCCATGTACCTTTTTCTCACTTTGGGTTCTTTCACTTACAGGGTGGATCTCCACTGAGAGTTTGCCTTTTCATGATTCAGGTGGAGACATTTTACAGTGACACAGAGCAGTCTGTTCAGAAATACAATATTTTTAACTGCCTAGCATACAGCACCTTGAGGACCCTAGGGCAGAATGGACAAGAACAGATTGCAGTAAGTTTTGCTGTCCAGAAGAACAGTTTATGATTTATTCTCTTGGGGTTCTTGTCACCCAACCCAATGTTGCTTCCCAGGCTCTTACAGACCTCTCTCATATTCTTCATCCCTTATGAGCAAATATCCCATCATGGTGTGGCTGTTGCATCTTTATGGTAATGCTGCTCATCCTAGGATGGTTTTTGGAAGTTCACTTGGCTTTTCTGACCAACAGCTCCAGAGAGAAATTACTCCCTTTGGTGCTATCGAGACACAAAACAAAAATAAATGAGTGACAGAATCAGGAACACTTTCCACACAGGCATTGACTGTTTCCTCCATAGCTGTCAATTCCCCTTGCAGTAATTTCAATTTCTTTGAAAATGCTGTAGTGAGATTCTGTTCTTCTAAAATTCTGGGCACTTTAAAGGAGCCAAGACTTTATGCAGATTTGTTCCCTTCACTCTCACATTTTGACACATATTACTAAGTGAAAAGTCTGGTGCACATCCTGTTTTTGCCCTGGTTTGCCAGGATCCAACAGCAAATATGATTAACCCTGTCTTGCACATACAGTTGAGCAATGTTCCACACACTGCTGTGCAACATTTCTGCTTCAACAACCTTGTCTGTATCAGCCAAAGTTGATGTGGGAGCCAACAAAAAACTGTTTTAAACAGAAGTTTGTGATTAGCTTTTGTATCCAGTTGTACACAAACACAATAACAGATGGAAGATTAGCAAAGAGTGGAAGAGAACTAATTTTCCATCTCATTATCTCTCCGAGATGGGAAGTAGAAAACAACACCTATTCTCTTCCACGCCTGCCACAATGGGCTTCTGTCTTTGGGCCAGATGTGATCTGCTTTCTGAAGGAAAGCAGAAATATAATTAGAATGTACTGTGGAGAGACTGACCTTACACTCATCTGAGCTTTCATTACAGTAGGTATCCAAAACACTGGATGTGTTGTAGGCTGCAGCTGTCAGCTTCAAGAGCCACTTCTGGAAACCCTAAAGAAGAAATAATTGCAAGGTAATGACTGCAGCACAGTGCAAGTGCAGCTTGCTGTTCCATTACGAGAATAACCTTTTAATTACCAACAATTAAAAGAGGCCTTTTCTATGGGCACTGGGGCAAGTTCTAGGAATTGTGAAGTTCCTACAATTCCCATTAATTCCAAAGGACCTTTCCAGCACTTATCACCACTCAGGACTTCACTCACTCAGAGTAATTAGATTTTTAGACCATTGTTTCTAAAGTTTCAGACATCCAGCCACACCTTTAGCAGAACACCTGATAAGGTCGTCTGCTTTTTATTTTTTTAAAGAAGGTATATAAAGTGTTTACTTTAAAGGGTTTACAGGTCTTTATTTAGAAATGCATTATATTTAAGGACATCAATGCATCTCATCTGCTGGTTTTGCCCTTCAGTATGCAAAATTACTTGAGAGGATGCCACTAAAAGAACAGGATACAGAGCATTTGCCAGCTCATTTCCTCTTCCAATTAAATTCATAGCATTAAGAATGCAAACCTTTCCCTTGATCTGACAGGTAGCAGAACAAAGCACTTGTATTTTAGGTGTTGTCTGTCATGTTTTATCTGAGGAAGACATTTACATACTTCAACAATGCCAAGAACACAGGCTCCCATATTCCTATACAAAATGGAAGCATTCATTAATCACAGATTAACTAGGCAGCAGTCCAGCAGAACCAGCTTGCTCTGAGGGCTTGATACCAACTGAACATCCATCAATAGATTTCTAATACCTGAGAACATTTTGTATTTCTAAAAATTCCAGCAGCAGAAATGTCAAGAAGAGATTGCAATAATGAATAATTATTTGCTATTACAGCCAACAAGCTAATATACTAATGGATATCAACTTTATTCTCCCCTTGTAAGATAACTGATGGTTAATGCATGTTTTTATGTGGGACTATTACTCACACCTCAAAACATTACATTACTCTTAAAAAAGAAGTTCTGATACTTTGCTGAATAGAAATGCTGTAGAGTGGAATAAATGCTGCCCATTGCTTTATTGCAGCTCTGCAGTTCTGCAGAGACCTGTGTTAAAAGCCAGTGTCTCTTCAATACTTAGCTTCTAAATAAGGATTTATACTACAGCTGATGCAGAAACATAAGAACAGGCAACAAGAATTTACTTTTTCTATTTTCCACACAGAAAGGCTCAAAATAGATGGAATATTCACCATTGCCCACTGGGGATGTTTAGTCTGGAGAAAAAGTAGCTCAGGATAGGTCTGATCATGCGCTATGAGAACTTGTGGTGAGGTGGGTGTTGGTCTCTTCTCCAAAGTCATACCTGATAGGACAAGAGTTTGTGCATGGATTTCTTCTCCTGGGAAGTTGAGAAGCCTCAGAGAAAAAGGAAAACAATATTATCTCATTTGCTTCTCCCTGTTTTGGAATGTGTTTGGAGACTGTTTATCCAACAGGTGGTTGTTTGATTGGTTTCATGTGAGGTGTTTTCACTGAATGGTCAATCACTGTCCAGCTGTGTAGGGGCTCTGGAGAGTCGAGTTTTCATTATTATCTTTTTAGCCTTCTGTCTGATTATGATATGATATGATATATAATATAATATAACATAACATAATATAATATATTTTAAATGTTATTTTATATTATATTATTTTAAAATATATAATATAATATAATATATAATATATAATATATGATATACAATAATATTATATACTGTAATATACTATACTATACTACAATATAATATAATATAATCCTTCAAAAACATGGAGTCAGATTCTCAATTCCTCCTCTGCCTGGGGGACCTTGAAAACACCACACACCTGCTCTGGTGCAAGCCTCACAGGACAATGCAGCCCATCAAATAGTGGGGAAATACAACTTTTTTCTCCAGTGAGCAGCAAAATTTATTCTAACTACCAGCAAAATAAACCAGCAAGCTTTTCAACCCTGCTGAAAGCACTGACAGCTCTACAGGGGCATCTTTTTTCATCTTCAAAGCTTTTTAGAAGCACTGAATAATCTTCATATTCCTCTAGTATCTATCAATTAAAACCAGTACAGAAACAGAGGCACAGAGAAGCTGTAAGAGAACAGCTCAGATGTTCTGAGTTGGTTAGACCTCCCCACCCACTCTTCAGCTAGAGAATGTTTTGGTCCATTTGAAGTTCCATGGTTTTATCCTTCACTTTGTTAAGAGCCAGCACAACTGGTATCCAGCTGGGTTCTTGCTCTTCCTGTCTCCCCAAGGTAGCTGATGGTAATAAATAAGAAAGGAGATAGAACAAAAGGCCCTGTGCAGCATTTGAAGCATCAGCTTAGTTTTGCTGTTTTTTCAAACTCACAGATAGATGGTGGCTGGCTGATCATCAAAGAGAAACTCAGCTGGGCCTTCTTCAAAAATACAGTGAATCCATTGCAGCTCAAGAACAGAGAATAAAGAGAGAAATGGGGCCTGCTCACCTCTGCAAATGATATCCATAAAGATACCCCAACAAACTTCTTCCAGCAGTAAAGGACTTCATCTGAGTCCTTCTCACCGTCCACAGAGATAATTCAAAATGCACTGTAATAATTCAAAGTGTATCAGTACCAAGGAAGTATGTGAGAAGTATCCTGAAATACTTCCTGGGTGCAATTGTGGGGATGTCTGAGATTCATATTCTCTGAAAAATCCCTTTGCCTAGGATTCTTCTCCTGGGAAACCTTAGAGAGAAAGGAAAACAATTCTTATCTCATTTGCTTCTCCTGTGTTGTGCTCACATGTGGAATGTGTTTGGAGATTGTTTACCCACAGGTGATTGTTTCATTGGATTCTGCTGGGAGTTGTTTTCACTCTTTGGTCAATCAGGGCCAAGCTGTGTCGGGGCTCTGGAAAGAGTTAATAATTTTAACTCTTATAAGAGTTATAAATTTTCATAATTATCTTTTTAGCCTTCTGTAAGTATCTTTCTTGTAGACTTTAGTATTCTTCAATATAATACAGTATCATAAAATAATAGATTAGGCTTCTGAGAACATGGCGTCAGATTCATCATTCCTTCCTTCCTTCATCTGGGCACTCTGCAAATACAGTAGGGACCCTGAGGAGTATTCCTTGGGTTAGAGACACAAGGAGATTCCCTCAAAAGCTGTTTGTACCCACTGGCTCCTTCCCTTGTTCCTGTGTCCCTCCCTCCCTGCTCCCCCATTGAATCCCTGATCTTTGTCCTGCCCCATGGCACTGTTCAGCCCCTGCCTCTGGGGACACAGGAACCTGGACTGTCCCCATGAGTGCCCTTGGACCCTGACCACCTCACCACACAGCTGCATTAAGCACCTGTGGATATTCTGCAAAGGCCTTTTTTGCTTCCTTACCCTGGGCTTTATTAGCTCTAGGGATCTCTCGCTGGTCACAGTGACCCCGAGAAAAGTTAGAAAGTCTCTTTTCCCAGCCTGGCGCTCCAAGAAGGAGTCAGGGCTCTTCGTTTCTCAGTCTCAAGGTTGTTTATTGTTCCTTTTCTGTAAAATATATTCTTCTGTCCAGCTGAGGTCCATTCAGCAAGACAGCCCAAGGCACTCTCCCTGCCCCTGGGGTAGTGTTATGCCTTTATACTAAAAATTACATGTACAATGTTTACAATTACTTTCCAACATCTATCACCTATGTTAGACAGTGAGCTTCTACTCTAAACCAATCCAAAAGTGCCAACATCACAGCAGAAGATGGAGGCCAAGAAGAAAAAGGAGAAAGGCTGGACATACCCAGATTCCTCCATCTTTCCCCCTGATTCTAAAAACCCCAAAATTTACTTTTTCACCTCGTGATAAATTCACTATCATTCTACTTAATTTGTCACGGCTTGCAGATCTTCATCTAAGGTTGGTAACTTGCTCCATGGGTTATAATCAAACCCACAGGGGCATCTTGGGGGCCTGTGCCAGGGGCTCTGAGATCCCTGGCAGGGTCTGGGCTGCTCAGGATAGCCAGAGGGATGCCCTGGGTTCCCACAATTAGCAGTTATTCCAGCTGCAACATGCAATATTTTGAAAGATAAAACCAGGGAAGTTAACTGGGTTGGATTCAGGGTTCTGATGATCTGGGATCTATCATGATAATCTGCTCTTCAGAAAGAGGCAGTTGTTAATACACACGTGTAAATCCTGCCAGTTGTAAGGAAAGGATGGGAACAGGGAGAAGGGAATAAATTTTTACTGTTCTAGTTGTCTAGACAAGAATTAATACTTTCCCACTCATAAGAGGGAGATCCTTCTGGATCATGGAGTTTAGATCCAGATTTGCTTCCACTTAGCATGGTCAGAGGTAACAGCAATGATCACCAGTGGGTAACACCCAGAAAAATTTATCCTTATTCAAATCACAAATTTCTTTCCCAAGTGCTTTTTTAAAAATCAACAAAGATGTTGAAAACCTGTAACCTGCAGATATTTGAGAATCCATGGACTATTTTTCATGTCCACAAGACATATTATAGAAGGAAAAAAGCTCAGGTCAATAAGATTTAATTAATCAGGACTCAGACCATAGGTGAAAAAATTTCAGAAGCTTGCACACTGAAAAATTTGAATACTGCATTAGGGTGAATTTTTGTCAAATGATTTTATTAGATGAACAAATCATTGTATTTGAATGTATACCACATATTACTTCGTCCATTCTAAGACAAACTTTTAACTTCTATGCATCCTTACATCTTAATGTACTCTTGCAGGGTCTACCAAATACAGAAATTTAACACAGAAAAAATGTTGTCTAACTATGACCTAAGTCTTTAAGAAAGTATTTCTCAATTTTTTTTGCACATTTGGACACCCAGCCACAGCCCTCAGTTTGCTTTCTGCTGTGCTTGGGTCACTCTTTTTTGTCTGGTCTTAAAATCAGTTAGAAAGAAAACAAATGCATTTGAAGCTGCACAGGTAGAACTGGAACAATTCCATCAAGATTTCCTAAAGCAGGAAGCTTCTGCCTATGTCAGATCCCTAGAAATGAAAAACAATAAAGTGTAAAACCAGAAGGATTTAGTATAAACTGTAACCTGCCTTTTTAAATTGAGTTCACGGTAGCTCATCTTTAGCTTTAATGGAAATGTTTTTATGCACTGTGTGAAGAATGCTACCTCAGATAAAATTTGTGGTACTGTCTAGCCATTACAGATAGTAAAGTTTGCTAAACAATGACAACACTGCATTTATTTTTATGATTACTGAGCTAATGGGAATTTTTGCAGACATGTGGCATGAAAAGACACAATATTAGACTATTTTCTCAAAATATTTACACAATTACTACACTAGTTGAGGTCTCTGGGCTCTTTGTCTCAAGTCACAAATTGTAAAATCATGTTTTCCTGTCTGATTTCCCCATTTTTCTTCCCTGTGGGTTAAGGTGAAGGTACATTCAAATATCTACATTTTTATTTCATAGGCCATTTGAATGATAAACATTTAAACAACAGAAAGCAAGATTGTCCAAGAATCTGCAAGTAAAACTTTTAACTTGGACGTCAATAGTGATCAGACTTACTAAACCTGGAGCATCTAACTAGTCAGAAGAGTGGTGTGCCAGGTTTTACAGCATGATGAAGACTAGAAAAACCAGCATTAGCTACTCATCCTCTACTTTGGTTAACTGCTGAATAGACTGCTGAATTGTTTGCTGTTTATTTCATTGCACTGATGTTACAACCAAGATGAGCATGGCCTTGTAGAAGCTGTGTAGCACATGAACACCTTGCAGAACACAGTCCTCATTCTTCTGAATTAGCAAAATTGTGCAGAAAACGGGAGAGACAGAAGCCAAACAGCAGATGAGTGGTTACAAAAATCCCAAGACTCCTAAACTCTAATCCATCACTGTGGCCTCTGGACTGCAAGGTGCTCAGGCTATTTTTCTTTGACAATAAACTGCCATGTCCAGTACCAGCACTGACATTAATGAATAAAAACAACAACAAAAGCCAAAAAAAAAACCCAAACAAAACCAAAACCCTCATAGAAATAAACTATGAAAATGCACTGGGAAAATCTAGCATCTTTTTTTTGTCCAAGCAGCCAAAGTAAATGCTTGGTTTGGTTCAGTCTGCAGCAAGATTGTGCTGTCTTTTCCTGCATAATAGTTCATGCAGATACAATAACACAAAGTGGAATGCAAATAGACCATGCTTATGCTAATTTATTGCAGAGAAGCATATGCTGTATTTACTATGAATTCCATGCTTTCCTTTGGTTTGCCAAATGCTTTTTTTCTGAGAGAGCTGTTCTGTTTGATACTGTGCTTTTGTTTGGTTAACAGGCACTCCCTCATCCTGTTTCTTCTGATAAGAGTGATACAGCCCAGTGTCATTAATGGACAAACACACGGTGAAGTGTGCAGATCTGTCCCAGGGTTGCACAATGTGGAGATGCTGAAAGTTCACCACATCATTACTTTGAATGCCAATGGAATCCTAAGGACCCATTTCAAGGAAAGTAAGAAGCCAAAAAACCAGATAAAAAAGATAAAAACTGGATAAACAGAGGTTTAAGGGCTGCTCTGCAGATGGAGTGTAACAGGAAAGTTTCTGTAGTCACACACAGTCATTATCAGCAGTGGTAAACTCCCAGTTCACTGATTTTTATTTTCTTCTTATTTTTTATTTTTAAAAGGGGCTTTTCTCTTTGCTGGATGGAAGTAACCTTGCTGGGAAAAAGAACCTTTACAGGATCAGCGGTGAGTGTGGGAATAAAGCTCATGAAGGTGTTCCAGACTTTGCATGTCATTTACATCACACATTGGAGCTCAGGAATCTCTTCCCTCAGAGGGATCGTGAAAAGGAACCAGTAGAAGCATTTTTCACTAAATGTTACCTTTTATTGTGCATTTTTAGTTATTGTTCTCAGAATTCCTTCCTTTGAACAAGTAAATGGTACAAAACGTAATCTTTATGCAGTTTTCTAGGAACAAGGGTATTAATTACCAACATACCTCAGCCCTGATGTAGCAGAGCATGAAGTCACAACAGCCATGCTGTGCAGTTACAGCTTTTAATGTTTCCTTGTGCCACTGGCACCATCTCCTTGCCTTTTCCTCATCCTGTAATTATCATTTCCTCTCTACTTGGACAAATCCATTACACAAAATATCCCTCAAAATAACAGAGGACAGACCTCTACTATCTCTTAGTAACCATGTACACAACTAGCTCTGGCCACACTGGACATTTTGGAAAGAGCATTCAAACGGAAATTTTTCTCACCATTTCATTTTACGTATGTTGAGTGAAGTCGCTTACCTCAAAAATATATTAACTCTACATTAGCTTATTGTATTCAATACAGGCTTTTAATTGATACAATTTGAGTTTTAATATTGCTTTATTCCAAAGTGCTGCAAGACACTGTCTTCATTAACAGGATTGGACTAAATTCAAAAGCTTATCTGTGACTGTGGTCACAGGGTTTTCAGGTGAAAACCTGGGAGACGAGAATGTTGACTCCATGTTCAGAAGGCTTGATTTATTATTTTATGATATATATATATAAAATATATATTTATATATTTATATATACTATATATTT